TATATATATGTGTGTGTGTGTGTGTGTGTGTGTTTTTAAACCTACCAAAACCTGAATTGCAGGATACAACAGGGCCCTGTAAAAAGACTAACAAATTAACAAGTTGATAACATTAACCATTCATCCCTAATGATATTCTATTTGGTTTGAGTCACATACAGTCAGGTAGCCTGTACAATTTAATTCCTACAGTTCAAACTGTAAAGCAGCATTTTTCAACACTGGCTCTGGAGCGGATCCAGTACACATTTTGTATGTCTCCCTTATCTGACATCCATTTCAGGTTCTGAAGTCTGTACTAAGAAGTCAATCAGGTTTGATTTCTATCACAGAATGCTTGCAAAATGTAATTGTTGTACCTTCAACACTGCACATCTGGCAAAAACGCCAAAAGTGATGGGAGTTTATGAACCGATACAACGAAACTATACCTCGAATGCAGTGAAAGTCGCTTTGGATAAAAGCGCCTGCCAAATGCAACATGTAGAAACTTTTGGCAAACTCATTGAAATTAGCTCACTTCTCACATCCAATATGCATGTAGAAATAAAAAAATAACAACGACTAATGATCCCAGTACTATTGACATTACAAACAGACTGAATCCTCGTTTCCTTAATCATAAAGTACAACACAGCACAAATATTAATTATTCACATTTAAAAGCATTATAGGCAGATTCCTTTTTTGTTAGGCCTATTAACAAACACACAAGTATCCTCACATGTATGGAAGCATATAGGTAGCGAAATTCAATTTAAAATGCAATATGCAAAATGGCATTGTATTTCTGTATTTAAATTTACATGTTCCATTACCCATACATGCAAAGTTTGGTGCAAAAGGAAAATAAATAAGATGAAGTGGAGCGTGAACAGAGAAATATATGAAGCGTACTCCATGCTAAAATCAAACGTTCGAACGACCGACCGATCAAACGTCTTGAGCTTTGAGCGTCTTACACTGCAAGTGACCCACGTGACGCCAGCGTCTTGAAATTAGCTGGTGTTTAAACATTTAAGGAGCCAAGCTGCTGTGTAAAGACTATAAATGGACATTACAAGCATTACAATAATGATATTTTATACCTAAAATAATACTCAACCATTTCCTGCATCCTGCTGTACAATTTTTAGTATAATTAATTAATTTAAATTAATGTTTCTAATAGACACATTTATAGCAGAACCTCAAGTAAACTACATGTTATTTTGTTTAGTCATATACAGGTGGGAGCTTTTTCTATTTATTACTCAGAACAACTTATTCGCCTACAACACCTTTAAAGACTTATTCAGGGAAGTACAGCAGGTTGCAGGAAATGTTTGAGTATTATTTTAGGTATAAAATATCATTATTGTAATGCTTGTAATGTCCATTTATAGTTTATAAAGCGTTAAAATTTGCATGCAATTTACATATTAAGACTACAGTTGGAAATGGCAAATGTAAATTATATAATTTGCATCCTTTTGCACCAAACTTTGCACGTATGGGTAATGGAAAATGTAAATTTAAATACAGAAATACAATGCCATTTTGAATATTGCATTTTAAATTGAATTTGGCTACCTATATGCTTCCATACATAAGAGGATGAGTGTGCTCGGCCTTACCTGATCTTCCTCCCAGTCATCCATGATGAGCAGATTACGACCGTCAATTAACACTCTTCCAAGATCTGTGCCAGAAAACACCACATTGCTGAAAGTGAACAACACAACTAATTCGATTATCGGTTAACATTTTGAGGATTTCAATTACATTTAAATCGGTCATTAGTTTCTGCGCGAGGTTAAACCTCTTTCATCGACAGCCTCGTGTAAAACGCCGTGATATCTAGAAAAAGCAGCAGACACCATCCTTTCTGTTACAGTACAGTAATACAGGTTCATTTAAAAGCAAATAATTAAACTAAGATAGGTATTAACACCAAAGACGACTAACGTTAATTAGACCGCAGCAGTAAAAGGCAACTTCACAATTATCGCCTCACTATTTGACGCTAACGAGTCAACTTCCTCTTCAATCGTGTCTTTAACTCGCATTACTAAAGACCGAGGAATAAATCATATTAATGTAGCTTATAAAGATAAAGCAGCATACGTTTAGCAGAGGAGTTGATGGCGGGAGACACGCGAAGAAACCGCTAGCGAGGAAAACCGGTCAGAAATGACGCAATTATTCTGCGTGTGGGCGGGAAAATCGGTGTGATGTGCGATTCGCGCTTTTGAACTGATTCTTTTGAACGAACCAGACAAACGATTCACAAACCCGTTTGAATCTTTTTCTGAAGTTATTGGTCACGAGTCATCATGACTCTTTCGGTCATGTCTAAATCAAAACGAGTGAATGAGTGAACCGATCTCAAGAAAACAACTATATTTTTTACCGGGGAAACTCCCGGTGCTCCAGATGGCCAGTCCGCCGCTGTTGTCACCTGCCCAGATGTTTGATTCATTGGTTTTGGACCTAAAGTAACAGTCCTTAATTAAAGGAATAGCTCAAAAATTGAAAATTGCATTAACCTTTTATTTATGACTCTTTCGGTCATGTCCTAATATAAATAAGTGAGGAAACTGATCCCAAGAGAACTTGTGGTGTTTAATGAGGATTTTGTGAATTAAAATAACTAGGATAGAAAAAAGGTATAATAAATTAAGGAAATGTCAAGTCAAGTCAACTTTATTTGTTCAGCGCTTTATACAATACAGATTGTGTCAAAGCAGCTTTACAGCGTTAAACAGGAAAATAGTGTGTCGAAGCAAGAGGACAATAACAAAGAGTCATTTTCCAGATAAAGTCAGTTCATTCAATGCCATTTTGAATATTGCATTTTAAATTGAATTTGGCTACCTATATGCTTCCATACATAAGAGGATGAGTGTGCTCGGCCTTACCTGATCTTCCTCCCAGTCATCCATGATGAGCAGATTACGACCGTCAATTAACACTCTTCCAAGATCTGTGCCAGAAAACACCACATTGCTGAAAGTGAACAACACAACTAATTCGATTATCGGTTAACATTTTGAGGATTTCAATTACATTTAAATCGGTCATTAGTTTCTGCGCGAGGTTAAACCTCTTTCATCGACAGCCTCGTGTAAAACGCCGTGATATCTAGAAAAAGCAGCAGACACCATCCTTTCTGTTACAGTACAGTAATACAGGTTCATTTAAAAGCAAATAATTAAACTAAGATAGGTATTAACACCAAAGACGACTAACGTTAATTAGACCGCAGCAGTAAAAGGCAACTTCACAATTATCGCCTCACTATTTGACGCTAACGAGTCAACTTCCTCTTCAATCGTGTCTTTAACTCGCATTACTAAAGACCGAGGAATAAATCATATTAATGTAGCTTATAAAGATAAAGCAGCATACGTTTAGCAGAGGAGTTGATGGCGGGAGACACGCGAAGAAACCGCTAGCGAGGAAAACCGGTCAGAAATGACGCAATTATTCTGCGTGTGGGCGGGAAAATCGGTGTGATGTGCGATTCGCGCTTTTGAACTGATTCTTTTGAACGAACCAGACAAACGATTCACAAACCCGTTTGAATCTTTTTCTGAAGTTATTGGTCACGAGTCATCATGACTCTTTCGGTCATGTCTAAATCAAAACGAGTGAATGAGTGAACCGATCTCAAGAAAACAACTATATTTTTTACCGGGGAAACTCCCGGTGCTCCAGATGGCCAGTCCGCCGCTGTTGTCACCTGCCCAGATGTTTGATTCATTGGTTTTGGACCTAAAGTAACAGTCCTTAATTAAAGGAATAGCTCAAAAATTGAAAATTGCATTAACCTTTTATTTATGACTCTTTCGGTCATGTCCTAATATAAATAAGTGAGGAAACTGATCCCAAGAGAACTTGTGGTGTTTAATGAGGATTTTGTGAATTAAAATAACTAGGATAGAAAAAAGGTATAATAAATTAAGGAAATGTCAAGTCAAGTCAACTTTATTTGTTCAGCGCTTTATACAATACAGATTGTGTCAAAGCAGCTTTACAGCGTTAAACAGGAAAATAGTGTGTCGAAGCAAGAGGACAATAACAAAGAGTCATTTTCCAGATAAAGTCAGTTCATTGTTGATTCAGTTCATCATCATCCAGTTCAGCTCTCTTCCAATAGTGTCTGTGCAATCAGTCAAGCGTCCCCAACTAAGCAAGCCAGAGGAACCAGAACTCCATCAGTGACAGAAATGGAGAAAAAACCTTGGGAGAAACCAGGCTCAGTCTCAGTTCTCATGGTCTTGTGCTGATGGCCAACATGGTCTTCGCAGGGGATCTGTCTCTGGAGCTCATCTAGTTGACATGGTCTCCGCTGACATTCAGGGCGGTAGAGGTCGTCTCTAGGTGCTGATCCACCATCTGATCTGGATACAGACTGGATCTGGTGGCTACGGTGACCTCGGAATAAATAAATGCATATTTTTAAAGAGCAGTTGTTGTTGTTGTCACCTGTCCAGATGTTTGGTCACCTGGGCCCGTATTCACAAAACATTTGATCTTACCACTAAGAGTTCTCCTAAACAGCAGTAAAAGTTTTTAGCTAAGAGTTTTCCTTTAAAACCTATTCACAAAGCTGCGATTTATTCATAGAAATATTGTAGAGCACGATGTTGCCATATATAAAGGTTTAAAAATAAAAATGTTGCCCACATTCAAATAAAGATTTTAAAATGCAGGCTAGTGTCCCTAATTAAACAAGTATATGTTCAGCTAATTGTCAGCCTCTTACATGTATGCTTCTCGTAAACAATTAGTGAATATGCATATAAACAGCCTTTTAATTAACAGAGTAGAATAATCATGGCGGATAGTAATACATGCAAACGTAAAAATAAAAAATAAATTTAAAAAAACAGCTGTTACTTCTTGCCCTACTGGTTAATGAAAACAAGGATATAATCAAAGGAAAATTTACAGTTGGGATAACCTCCAAAACCAAAGGTGATAGGCTACCTTTTTAAAAGGTCATTATCATCAAATGTTTCTAAAATGTTTACGTTCCGAGGCAGATTGCCGGTGTCGTGCCGAAAATTGATCGTCTGCCGAAAACTGATTGCCGTCCGCATCCGTCCGTTTTACACTTGCCACAAAGTGATTAGACTCTACTTAGGGAGTGAACTGTTCTTTCTGCCTCAAAATGACTTGATTTCATTCCATTCATTGTTGTTATATTTGATAGATTATAGTTCATTCAGTCCTTTTTACCTATTGAAATACATTTAAATGGTCAATAAAGCCCATAAAATGCAGTTTTACACAAAAAGTGAACGGTTCTTTCTGCCTCAAAATGATTTGATTTCATTCATGGTTGTTGTCAAAAAGTATTTCAACAGGTAAAAATAATTGAGTTATTTTATGCTTACCAATTTGATCAAATACAGTAAAAACGGTTATTGTGAAATATTATTACAATTTAAAATAACTGTTTTCTGTTGCCATATATTTTAAGTTCCCTCTGGAGTCGGTCTCAACTGCGTCATCGAAGATGTCACTTTGGGTTATCCCCTCCTTCCTCGAATCTATTGAAGCCTTATGAAATCTCACGGGTGATAATTTGCCTGCCAATGGCGTTCAAGCGTACAATATAGGTGGCGCTAACAACCTTTGCCTCAGAATTTTCTCCTTCAGCTACAAGAAGCCATCTACAGCTCACCGTTGAGGTATGCTTATCTGGGGGATGATGCCTGGATTGCCGCTCCCCTGCAGCGTTCCAGTAAGTATGGCATTTCTTTCAGATGCCTTCCGGACCGCTGTGTTTCTGCCTGGGCGATGCCCACTTAGAAGCAGCGCTGCGTGAGTCCGTCTGTCATCAATAACAGGTGGACCTTATGGACTCCGGTGATGAGTTCATGCCGACTAAGCGTCCGCATTCGTCTCACCCAACCCTCTCCGGGCATGGAAAAACATCCAGTCGCTCACTCAAGAGCACAATAATAAGCAAGCCCCCCGCCTCAGGGCAGCAGTCTGCTGTGTACAGAAGCAAAGTTGCCGGTGCCATGCCGAAAATTGATCGTCTGCCGAAAACTGATTGCCGTCCGCATCCGTCCGTTTTACACTTGCCACAAAGTGATTAGACTCTACTTAGGGAGTGAACTGTTCTTTCTGCCTCAAAATGACTTGATTTCATTCCATTCATTGTTGTTATATTTGATAGATTATAGTTCATTCAGTCCTTTTTACCTATTGAAATACATTTAAATGGTCAATAAAGCCCATAAAATGCAGTTTTACACAAAAAGTGAACGGTTCTTTCTGCCTCAAAATGATTTGATTTCATTCATGGTTGTTGTCAAAAAGTATTTCAACAGGTAAAAAGGACTGAATGAGCTTTAATCTGTCAAATATAACAACAATGAATGAAATCAAGTCATTTTGAGGCAGAAATAACAGTTCACTCAATAAGTAGAGTCTGTAATCACTTTTTGGCAAGCGTAAAACGGACGGAAATCAGTTTTCGGCAGACGGCAACAGCCATTTTAGGATAGTTTGTGGCTTGGGCTTAGTGACTTAGGAGTCCTCTTCACTACTCCTAACCTTTAGGAGCTAGTTTTAAAGCTAAAAGGCTTTGTGAAATACTCTTAGAGCAAAAATGTAGGAGTCCTAAATTTAGGACTGACATGCACATTCTTTTTAAGATTTTCTCCTAAATCGGCGAGTTATGAGCTACTTTTAGCCTTAAAATGTTTTGTGAATACGGGCCCAGATCCACAAGTATTCCACACAAATCCTGTTCATCAATTAACGTCTTGAGAAGTGAAGCTGCATGTTTGTTAAAAAAAAAAAAAAACTCATTAAGGCATTTTAACTTTAAACTGTTGCTTCTGGCCAGAATACCAATCCATAATCCACAATAACTCTTCCTCCGGTCAAAATACCCATCCGCTGTTGAGTTCTCACACCAATCCACCAGCATATTTGTTTAGAACTGTTTTGGACTGTTTGCACTAGATATGTGCTCATTTCTCTCCTTATTCAGATGAAATAACTTTTCCACAATATTACGGATAGAGGACTTGTATTTAGCGGGCAACAACAACATCTTAATGATGGATTTTGATGATGGATCACTTCACAAGACGTTAATTGATGGACTAGAGTCATGTGGATCACTTGTGGATTATTGTGATTATTGTGATGCTTTTACCAGATCTTTGAATTACTCTGAGGGTCTGAGGGTAAATACATTTTCAGAAAATGTTCAATTTGATT